TAGGTTAAGTTAGGTTAGGTTAGGATATGTTAGGATGACAATAAACAAGGACATTCCTTCTGCCGGCCACTCAACCCTACCTGGCTTGGGCTTGGCGCAACTAAGGAACATTTTTTGGGACCCTTTGAGGGTTTGGCGCAATTAAGGAACTCTTTGGCGCAACTAATGCACGACCAATTATTATTTGGAAGAGCTAGTTTTCGAAACCTCACTTCTACGAATGTCTTTGATGTGTTAAACCGTGTCATGGCAATGTGTTACTCATGTTTTAATCGAAACGTGTCTCACTCTGGAATTTCCAACGTTTACTTTTCAATACTTCTTATCGAGTGTTACCAGATGATTTTTGCAAGAATGCCGTTTAACTGATTATTTCAAATTTTTATTTAAAAATACCTAAGTCCTTTATTAGATGATAATTGATGATTTTCGCTAGTTTTACAAGAGTTTAATCCACCCTTAAGTGGACTAAGTAGCCTACCTACCTTATTAAAGATGTTGAAGTATTTTGATAATGTTTTAAGCTAAACTCCAGAAGATTAGAATTAAAATTTAGAGGCCTATATTGTTTGATTAATAGTAAACATTGGTTTGACACTTTATGATAAAATGTCTCGCAATGCTTTTAGAATTAGAATGATGATCCCAAGACTATGTGGAAGGTTAATACATTTTAACCAGTCTATGAAACTGCTGTAGTTTAAAATTCGTCAAAGAATCAGCTACTACTCACTTACCTCTTCTTCAGTGATGCAAATAAAACGAAATCAGAAAAAAAACTAGACCTTTTTATTCCACACTTCTTATAACTTATAACACTTTCTTATAATATTTTTTCTTGTTTCACAAAATTGATATAACACAAAGACAACAACAAAAAACAAAACCATATGATAAAGTTAGTTACATGAAATATTCATCATATTAAATTTACAGACCACAAAAACTTATCCTCAAAAGTTCCAGTTTATTATTGTATGTAGTGATTTATTTATTTATTGTGTTGTGTTTAACTATATTCGCTTGGCTAAAACGGGTTTAGTGAGCACAAACTAAATGTTGATACTAGTTTTCAGCACGGGGTAAAATGGAACACCATCTTTCTACAAGGACGAAATTCTAAAGTTTGTGTTAAAAATATCAACTAAAGAACACAATTTAAATTTGCCTAAAGGTCAATATAAATATCTCAAAGGCAAAAGAGCATGGCCACTTTGAATGACGTCAATTATTTAATTTTGTTGTTTTCGTGCTGAAGCAACCAATCGCATTTCGCGTCAGTGTTTTTCCAAAACAGGATCTGCGCAAGGAAAGTGAGCAGTAAGCTGGTCCTTGGCCCGTGATCAACAGTTAACCTTGCTAGATGCGAGGAATACGTCGTTTTTATTTTGCTCTTTCCTCTCCGCTCTTCGGCCGAAAATAATACATCATGAATAGCAAACGCTGAGACACATTATCTTGTCGATTTGTTGGCTGTTTGCAAAAATGTTAACATTTAAATACCCCTGCCTTTACTGTTATTCACTTAGACAAAGGTATTCTTCGTGAGCGAGATGTACAGGGTGAGTCAGAATGGCGTTAAGTGTTGTTTTGTTGATCAGCTGCTTCCTTACTCGTGATCATACAATAAAATCTAGTAATCAAGGACAGTTTGGTCGTCAGATTCGAATCATCCAAACTTGTTACATATTCTTTTTCGCTGTATCCAAAGCTACTAACTTTTCTAATTCAGTAGTATCTATTGATTATAATCATGCAAAGTTTTCACTCCAATTCATAGTGTAGAGACATATGCTCAGTGAATTACAGCGTGGTATTCTAGCCTGAAGGTCATGGTTCAAATCTCAATAATCGCCAATGGATTTAGCTAAGTGATGACGTGGACGTGATCCTGGTATACCATCTTAAACTGTAGGTCCTGTTATCTAAACAAAAAGTAATAGGTTTCTCGAAGAATAGAATTATCTAATTTTGAGAACTCCTCCACTAAAACAATTTCCCACCAATGTATCTCTTCCAACGTCAACTACCCTAGCCCAGCAATCTCTCCATCACCTTGCTCCAGGCAAGGTTGCAGTAGGAGAAAGCATCAGATGGCTGGAAAGAAATTGTGCAAAGGCCGTCCAGTGGACGAGGTGTGGCAGAAATCTAAGGACTCATTAGACTACGGCAAGGTAGATCTGCAAGGCCGGACATAAACAATGGTCCACCGGCTGACCCTGACCTCAGCACACCTGCGTACTCATGTCGACACAGGATTTCACCGCGGTTTGAGTTGATAACATCTAGAATTCAAATCTTGAAGATTTAGAGCACGGTTTCGGTTTGGTAACGATTGGTTTATGGTTGTTGAGGTATTTGGTTGTGTTTGTGTTGTTCGCGGTTGGTTCGGATCGGTGGTCGAAACGTATGCTATACCATAAAAAAGGTTTGAAATGACAAATGTTTTACAATCTAAACTACTTATAGGATGGTCATTGCAAATTAAAGTAATATGACGTTTTTGAAATTGAGAAAGGATTTTGAAGCATTCTGAGATCAAATCAGAGTCCTATTCACATATGCTTACCTTCAAATTGAAGGTCGCTGGTTCGATTCCAAGCTAGATCGCTTTAGACTGAGATGCCCTTTGTCATTGCGCTATGAATAATGGTAATCATGTCTCAAAGGTCGACGTTAGATAGGAACTGGAACAGGAGTTGTACCGTTCCCTTTCAAAACGTAAAAAAATCCATTGGCTGAAAAATACACAAAATTAAAAAAATGTCACCTCTGTGCATGACCTAAAAGTGTTGGAAACATGTTTTAGAGTTAAATAGGCCCTAAATACTTAAAATAATATATGGACCAGTAAATGCATATAGAACAATACTCATCCTCTGAGTCTGTATTGCCCAATATTTTGTCTTTGCACAGGATCGAATCGGCTATCTTCTGACCACCAGGTGAACGCTGTAACCACTGGCCCACCCTAAACATGGAATATTTTCCGAATAATCTATACAATCCTCGTCAAGATTTCGTACAACCCATTAAAATTCGTTAGCCATATCCATCAACACTTTCTAGTGACATCATCGGCACACCTGACGGAAGCCAGTGTAAATATTGTTCATCGACCACGTGAGGTTGAAGAATGACTTGCGCAAATGTACTCCTTGTTTACTTAGCCTCGCCCAAGGCTCCACTAGCCTCTCCCCAGGAGTTTTCACAACACTCGACACATTAGATAATGACTTGCAACTGTGTTTTCCTTGTTTTCGCTGGTTCCGGTCATTCACAACAGTTTGTTTGTTTAATATCTCTAACGTTTACGTCCGACATTTTATTACTTTCTCCTCCTGTATGTGAAAAAAAGTATTGTTTTCGTCAACATTTTTGAGTTTGAGTTTTGGGTGGATGTCCAATTTTGGGTTTCTCTGAGCACAAAACGTGATTGGTCGAGGTCTGCGTGCGTGGATGTGTACAGAGCTACAGTCCACACTATAGTCAGATTTTGGTGAAATTTTGCAACTGGAATAATCCATGGTATCTCCTGGCTTTTTTATTTTTCGAAATTTTTATTTTAATGGTCGTTTTCCCGATAAAATAACGAAAAATTGAATTTTTACAAAAACACACACCGATTTTGATGTGTTAGAAAAAACATTTAAAAATGTATTAAGTTGGTTTTGGCAATATTTTGTGAAAATTTCGGATTCCTACTCTTTTTTTTAAGTGTTTTCCTAATTTATTCACTGCTCAAATTTGTCCACTTTTTGTCGAACAGCTGTTTGATTAAAGAATATTGCACACTAAAAACCTAACCTAATATATCAGGTAATAACTTAAGAGAGTAGTTTTTATAGGAAGCAAATTGGAAATAATTTCAATATGCCACCATTTTGTTTGACAAACTTTAAAAAGCTGAAATTTTCACCAAATATTGTCAAAGCCTACACAAATTGGGTTAGTTGTCAAAGCTGGTAAGCAACTAGTAATTTATATTTAAACCTCTTCGTGGGACTGGGACACTCTGTATTGCAAAATGACCAAGGAAAGCTATTGATCGATTGATCACGTTTATGGAACCAAGATGTCATCCTGCTTTAGAATCACTGTCGTTAACATAATCAGATGTATCGATGGTGTCGTCGACCCTAGGTTGACATTGTGCTGAGCAATGACTGACCAGTGTGACCCTGTGACCTTGTAATGTATAGACATCATACAACGTGCCACTGGTGCCGCACGTGTCGGGTCAATGTATGGCTGTGGATTAGAAAACATATGATCAGCATCTCCAGAACCTATAAACATCTAGATAGCACGTAACGTCGAAAGATGCAAACCTTTGAAAAGCTACCAGTATTTAACAGCTCCAACATGTGTATACCCTATATTCATTAACAGAAAAATGTTATGAAAAAATAAAGAGACATTTTAACCCGCAAATGACGCCATAATATAAATAAATGGTATACGTAATCTGGCACATACCTTCTCCCAGCTTGCCATAAACCCTGCTAAGCGGTGGGAGTAAATATATTACTGAGAAAAATCACAAAAGTTGCAGGAGTATCAAAATATTAACAATTCAAAAACTTTAGCCTAATAATATTCGAGGATATTAAACTCAAAATCTACAATAATACTATCAAAGCGGACTAAAAATCATATCGAAAACTTTGCACCTTAAAAATACATCAAATTTGAGAAAACTCATTAGTCTTAGCTTCATATATTTTGTGGACACAACAAAAACCTCCAAACCACTCATATTTGTAACCAAAGTCCTTATCACTTTCTCAAACGTAACTTCAACCAATTTGCACACTGTTTTCAAGCGTTCAATCTTTTAACGTTACATTCATTATCCACAAGACCCTTTGAAATCATGGATATTCATGAAACCTCCTAAATTTAGTGCAGCCACCTACGCATACAGATCTAGCGACTTCTTATTACAAATATTTTCCTGGGATAGATTTAAAAATTAATTTAAAATGTTGATGTTTCAGAAATCTCAATTTTTCCACCGTCGCCACCAGCGAAGACGATGACTACAGTTACCACAAGAAAAAAATGTCGAGGGTAAGTTGATCTCTTTAGTTTTTTTTAAGTTAGACTGTCGCTCGATGTCTATGTAGTAAAATTATAGTTTACAAGTACAAAGGTCTCTTTTACAGTCGTCTCCAAATAAAACTTTCTGTCTCTTTAATCTCGGCATGAACACTATTTAACACTAACAGGGTGTCCAGATTCTGGAAAGTCAGGGATAGTCATGAAAAAAATTCTGGTCATTGAAAGTCATGGAAATAGGCAAAAGGTCATGGAAATCCTTAATGATTGATGGATTTGAGGGGACTGTTCAATGTTCTAGTCGGCTGTAACCCCGACTATTGAAACATTTTTCACAAAATGTACGACAATTCAATTGACTACAATTGTACTGTATTAGTTTTGGGTTTGTATTAGTTCACTGTTGTATATATTTTACTTCTCTTTCATCTGTTAATACATATTACAGTATTTTTGTGAAATAACTTGTCTAGGCAGTATTATTCGTGTGTGTATGTCATTATAATTTTCGAGTTAAGTTTGTGAGTCATGGAAATCATTGGTAAATGGTCATGGATAGTCATGGAAATTAATGGCATATTTTCTGTGGACACCCTGTCTAATCAAATTCAGTTTTCCATAAAACTAAAGGGAACCCTTAAGTTTGCACTATAAAATAAATTATCGATGTCGGATATTTAACTACTTCAGTATCCAAAGAACCACATTATTTTCTTGTGTGTTCCCTCCAACTAACAACTCCCAAGATAGGCTGTCCCTGACCCTGGGCAAGTCAATAAAATGTATTGCAAATACCACCCATGTACCATAGTGCACTTAAAGCAAAGCTTGATCATCAGATCTCCCGATTGATAATCTATTCTACAGCAAGACTATTTTGACCCTGACCAAGTGTGTTATAAATACTTGCATTACTCAATACCTCCTACATATACTTAAAGCAAAGCTTGGTCTTCAGATCTCCCGATTAAGATAATCTATTCCACAGCAAGACTATTGAGACCCTGACCAAGTGTTATAAATACTTGCAATACTCAATACCTACTACATATACTTAAAGCAAAGCTTGACCATCAGATCACCCGATTAAGATAATCTATTCAACAGCAAGACTATTTTGACCCTGACCAAGTGTGTTATAAATACTTGCAATACTCAATACCTACTACATATACTTAAAGCAAAGCTTGGTCTCCAGATCTCCCGATTAAGATAATCTATTCCACAGCAAGACTAATTACTTATTAAGACCCTGGCCAAGTGTGTTATAAATACTTGCAATACCCAATACCTACTACATATATTGTACGATTGTACTTAAAGCAAAGCTTGACCACCAGATCTCCCAATTAAGATAATCTATTCCACTGCAAGACTAGGTATTTCGTCCCTGACCAAGTGTGTTATGAATACTTGCAATACTCAATTCCTACTACATATATTATACTTAAAGCAAAGCTTGGTCTTCAGATCTCCCGATTGATAATCTATTCTACAGCAAGACTACTTTGATTCTGACCAAGTGTGTTATAAATACTTGCAATTCTCAATACCTACTTGAAGCAAAGCTTGGTCTTCAGATCTCCCAATTAAGATAATCTATTCCACAGCAAGACTAGTTCGACCCTGACCAAGTGTGTTATAAATACTTGCAATACTCAATACCTACTTGAAGCAAAGCTTGGTCTTCAGATCTCCCAATTAAGATAATCTATTCCACAGCAAGAGCAAGACTATTTTGACCCTGACCAAGTGTGTTATAAATACTTACAATACTAAATACCTATTTGAAGCAAAGTTTGGTCTCCAGATCTCCCAATTAAGATAATCTATTCCACAGCAAGACTATTTTCACCCTGACCAAGTGTGTTATAAATACTTGCAATACTCAATACCTACTTGAAGCAAAGCTTGGTCTTCAGATCTCCCAATTAAGATAATCTATTCCACAGCAAGAGCAAGACTATTTTGACCCTGACCAAGTGTGTTATAAATACTTACACCTATTTGAAGCAAAGTTTGGTCTCCAGATCTCCCAATTAAGATAATCTATTCCACAGCAAGACTATTTAGACCCTGACCAAGTGTGTTATAAATACTTACAATACTAAATACCTATTTGAAGCAAAGTTTGGTCTCCAGATCTCCCAATTAAGATAATCTATTTCACAGCAAGACTAGTTCGACCCTGACCAACTCAATGGCGCAGATCGCGTGCATTTCCCATGGTCGACCAGCTGACGGCACTGACCTACCAGCTGACTCACGCTCAAGGTCACGCTTTATCAGCTGATAACAGTCACGTGTTTGTTATCTCGGGGAGAACCGTACGATTGCGACGAGGATCAGCTGTTTTCCTTGTTCCGGAATTAGTCTGTTTGTTTTCTGTAAACACTTAGGAAGGGGGAAGCTAGAGTGGGGAAACCTGTGCTGTTCAATTTACCAAAATGAATACAATATACTGTACTTTCTATTTTGTTCGTCACACTGCAGTAAAAACACTTAATTTCAATACATGCAGCGGTGCTAAAGAAGTTCTTTTTATTTCTTGTGTGAAAAATAAGCTGTAGTTGTAGCTGGCCATTTTTCTTTTAAATTCATCCGCGGTTTTGGCTAAAGGAAATAGTTCTGAGTAGGAAATATAACATATTATCTGTTTGTGTTTATTGTCTGTGGCATTATAGATTTCACTAAAATTGATAAACCTCCTCCTTGTTTATTAATATTTTGTCTTCTTGAAACTGAATCTCAAATTTTCAATTTTGTAATTGCATGGGCGGATTAATACCTCTTGCATCTGACTTTCCTCTTATGTGATGGTTGCTTTCTTCGAACAATAATGGATGTCCTTTTTTACCTTTGGTAATCAGATATACTATATGTGTAGAACACAGCGCAGTACAGTATAGCGAAAAATATAGTTACCTAAACGAACCCAAAACTTCTATTCGACCCCTATTTTTTTTTTTTTTTTTTTTTTTTCAATGTTAAAACTGGAACTCATATCGCAAATACAGTATTCACTTTTCTAATTTTGTTCCACTATAATAACTGTGTTATTATTCGGCAAACACAATATTAAATACAAATTCGTCAAATAGTTCTACATTTACATTTGTCTAAATACGATAACAGGGTAATTTATCTGTCTCAAACACGTTTGTGGCATTTTCGTTTTCTTTTTACGATAAGCGGTAGGGTAATACAGAACCCGTTATGCCCATAAAGGGAACTGTCCAAACAGTGGTCTTACTAGAGTATAATGTTGACCTTTTATTGATAGCCACCATTAATTAATAGCCCAATGACAAAGACAAAAGGCATCCAGTTACGATATAGCGAATCGAACCAGCGACCTTCGTATTTGAAGGCGAGCACCATCACGTGGCTACCCAGACAAAAATTATTTTAATCAAATAAATACGAAATGCACGATGAAAATCTACACGTACTGTTAGGAAGATATTTTCATGTAGACGTGCAGAATCCCTTTATAAATTAAAATATGCTCAAAAATAAGCACAAAATATTAATTTTTATTTTTTTTAATGGGCCTAATGGGTCGCTATGCTGGTGCCGAAATGAAAACGAAAAATAAACAGAAAATCAATACCAAATTTATTAAATACTTATCACATGTTTTATTTACAACGTGGGGTGAAATAAAGAATTTGCACGATAAATATTTTTGGTTGAGTTTTCGACCACGGGGCGACCTCTAGTTTCTAATAATCGGGACTACTGTATTTTCTTCGATTAAATCGGAAGACGAATTTTTATTTCATGATACAAAATTCATTTTCGCTTTCAGTATAAAAATCAACTCTATAAGCACTTGTATTTACCAAACCGCAGACAATGCCAATGCTCGCTGTAACAATCAGTTGTCTGATCAGCTGACTGGTGACGTCATGTTGATCTTCTGTTGTCACGTGCAGCTGAGCGTGCTACCATCACGTACACAGACACCCGTCTACATAACATCGCCCTATCGTTGTAAACGAGCCTGTTATTCATTGGTAAAAATAGCCATCGAAAGGTTACATAATCAAAGTGCTTTTCTACGGGTTTTTGTCGGAATTCTTGCTCACGTTTTGGCGTATCGTGTTATAAAGGGGTAATGAGGAATGTATGCTAAAATGAGCACATGTTTTCGGAAATTTGCGTGTAACATTTTTAAGCTTGTAAATATTTTGAGTATTAGAAATAATTTCCCCGTTGTAATTGAATTTAAGTCGCTGGTAATTTCAGGATAAAAATGAATTAGATAAACTCAACCTAGAAAATACTAGAAGCACCACTGCTTTGTCAAAACTTTATAAAAAATTTTAAAGGTTTTCTACGCATAACGTATTTAGTTAGTAGTGTCTTCCATATCTTCTGTAGGTCCGTTAATAGTTTTGTTTTCATTTACTGGCATTGATGCTGTATGAAACATCAAAATCAAATGTTGCCGATATTTCAAGACGTCAGGTTTTGGTGAAAATAACATCCTATTAAACTCCAACCAAAATCATGTATTATTGTATCATTTGATAGAGTGGAGATTTTGTAGCAAAGCCCAGCAAAAAATTCCGTTGTCGCTGCCGTTTACAGATTTTTATTTTTATTATGTATTCAGTAGTGTTGCTCTTGAAAAAAATTATTACCCACACAAATACTTCACTTACGCTTTTATTACAATTCAGAAAATAACCAAGAACATCAGTCTTTATGGTTAAACTATCAGCTAAACAAGTAAACATATCTAAATAAAGAACAACAAGATATTTTGATATCCAATAGGGAAAACAATAGTGTCGGATTTCCCTAATGTCGAATGTACTAAAACGTGCAGGTGGAATTGGTCTGTTATGATAATGGATAACAGGTGTTTCTTCCGATCACCTGCATCGACGCCATGTGCCAAGTTACCAACTTTCACAGTCTCATGCAACGTGCGGTTATCCAACGAGTGTCATAGCACCGAATCTCATTTTACCATCAGCAACTAATATTTGTGCGATAGTTTT